TGATTCCTGCAACGACCAAAGCTCCAAAAGCCCCGAGGGGAGAAGAGGCTGCCAGTCGTCGAAGAAATCCTGCCAGGAAAGCGACGCCTCGGGAGCGAGGCAAGCAGACGCCTTTCACACCAGGCAGAGCAGCAAGGAGGCGGTCTGGCCCGGAAAGCCCGCGCTCTGGTTTCCCGGCAGCCCCCGAGCGAGGCGCAGGGTTTCCTCCTCCCACCCGCCACTGCCCGCCAATTAGGTGCAGCAACCCCCAAAGCAGGCTGCCCCCTGCGCTGCCTGATCCTCGCATCAGAAATCCCCCTCCCCCTTCCAAACATCTGCTTGCTAGGGGGGTAAGGCACCCAGCCAAGGCAATGCCAAGATTCGCCTGAGCCCTGCTGGGACCGAATGGTCACCACCCTGCGAGAAGCCCCTCCTGCTAACTGGCCATCCACCTTCACGCCCCACGGGCGCCGTCTTGCCCCACGGGCGCGCTCCAGCCAGTCCTCCTGAGACGTACCCATTTGGTGTGTGCCCCGTGGATGGTGTCTCAGGCGCTGCTTGGGCAAGTGCTGGATGGAGTGGGACGGAAAGGGCGGCGAGGGCTCGCCTTTAAAGCCTCCGCTCCTGGCCTCGTTCCAAGCCCTACCTCGATCATATACCTGGCCAAGGTAGCTAGGAGGAGACGGGCAGGGAGGGACCGGCAGCCCACTCGATGCTCGAGGGAGGCAGGAGGCACACAAACCGCGGGGAAGGCGGAGAGCTCTGGCACTGGCGGCTCTCCAGCGAGACAGCCCTCGAGGGTGGGAGGGGAGTAGCCTCCAGCCGCCCATTCGGACCGAAAGGGAAATCAGCTGGGGGTGAGGAGAGATGGATGACTCTGAAGGAAGGACCAGGAGAAGCTTGACGGCGTGAGGTCTAAGCCCCTTCGGATGAGGATGGGGTAGCTGCCATTAGCTTTCCCTGATGGCATCACCCAGTGGTTGAACCTCTTATACTGCAGGCATGGAGATTTACCGGGGAGGGGCTCCCGAAAGCACTCCTGAGATTTTAATTGCGTCTCCTTAGTAGGGGTGGTTCCTTCACAGCTGCAAAAAGTGGAGACATCCTGTGTCTGCCTGTTACTGGGGCTGTCAACTCTAGGTTGGGAAATACATGGGGGTTTGGGGGGGGGTGGAGGCTGAGGGACACACCTCCGTGGGGCATATATAATGCCATAAATAGAGTCTACCCTGCAGAGCAGCCATTTTCTCCAGGATAATGGATCTCTGTCACCTGGAGATCAGGTCCCACCTGGAAGTTGGCAACTATACCTATTATATAGGCAGTGGGGGGGTGGAGGCTGAGGGACACACCTCCGTGGGGCATATATAATGCCATAAATAGAGTCTACCCTGCAGAGCAGCCATTTTCTCCAGGATAATGGATCTCTGTCACCTGGAGATCAGGTCCCACCTGGAAGTTGGCAACTATACCTATTATATAGGCAGCCAAGGGTGCTGATGAGAAGGGCGTTCAGGGCATTTGCTGCAGGTGAGGTAAGGTGTCTGAGGAAGGAAGGACCACACAGAAACCTCTTCCAGAGATAGTAAAATATGGCAGGAAAGGAAGGTGTTGGGAGAAGATAGAGTTGGGGGAGAAAATGCCTAAGAACCTATGCTTTTGTTTGGAGCCAGGAAAAAGAAGAGGAGACTGGATTTGTACCCCACCCTTCACTACCTGAAGGAGTCTCAGAGTGGCTTACAATCCCTTTCCTTTCCCCTCCCCACAACAGACACCCTGTGAGGTAGATGGGGCTGAGAGAGCTCTCTCGAGAACTGCCCTCGAGAGAACAGCTCTGAAAAAACTTGTGACTGACCCAAGGTCATACCAGCAGCTGCAGGTGAAGGACTGGGAAATCAAATCCGGTTCCCCAGATTAGGAGTCCGTGCTCCTAACCACTGCATCAAACTGGCTCTCTAGGGAAAAGGACTAAAAGGAAAGGGGGGGGGGATAAAGGTATGTTCTAATAATTCTCAGCAATTAAAGAGAATGCACTCAAGAGACTTTCTTTTATGATTATGCCTTTCTCTGTCTGAGGAAATAATATGATGTGCAAAAATATGGGGTAAAAATGTTAATCTGAGGGGGAGAAAACAGATACTGAATGGTAACAAATTTTGGTACTAGTAAAAATGTGTGAGGATCTGTATATCTCTATCATCCCCTTTCTGTATGGAGTTCAGGGTGGCATACATAATTCAGTCAATTTTGTCCTCACAACAGCCCTGGAAGGTAGGTTAGAATGAGTAAGATTGACTGGTCCATTTATTTCCATTATACTAACAGTTGGGCTATACTTATCAAAGAAGCAGTCAAGTCATCAACTAATAATGCCCTTGCTATTGCCCGTTTCTTTTACACCAAAGGGCATCAATATATTCCCACTGCTCTTAAAGTATTTAACCAGAAAATACCTGCCAAACTGCTTTACGGTATCCCAATCTGGGTCTCAGCTTGCAATGAAGCTGTAGAATGTGTTCAATCAAAGTTCCTGAAGAAAATCTTGGGGCTACCAGCCTGCGTACCATATGCAGCTATGTGCCTGGAGACAACCCAAAGACGGTTAATCACTATGGCATGGACCATAACCTTTAAATTTTGGCTGCGCCTTCATTTTAGATGTGCCCCAAACAGTCTTGTGGTACACATGTTAACAGAATCCCATCTATTGACTTGGTTGATTCATATAGAGAAAAAAAATTCTATAATTGACTTTAGTTTTGATGATTTGGTACTTCTGTCTGAGCAGAAGGTTTTTTCCTCACTCAAACAAAGACTTCTTGATACAGAGGCGCAAGATCTGAGAAGACTTGGGCACAGACAGGGGTCATTTCCTGCAGGAGCACACAGGAACGGAGCTCCGGCAGTAAATAGCCCAGGGGGTGGGCACATACAACAAGCCCCACCCCCTGCTCCCAGCAGCCCTCAGTCAGAGCAAGAAGCAGCCAGGTAAGTTGCAGAGCCCCCTGGCCCAAAACAGTCCAGTGGTACCTTTAAGACCAGGTTTTATTCAGGTACAAGCTCTCCCTCTGTGAGGACAGATCTGCACGTTCCCCCCCCCCCATAGCTAGCAATCCAAAACAGTCCAGTGGTGCCTGAGCGGTGGGTGTTGCCTTCTGACACACTTCTGGTGATGTAAGGGGGTGTGGCATATGCTAATGAGTTATGCTAATGAGCTCCTGCACCTCTTTTTCTACGAAATGACCCTTGGGCACAGACATTGCTCTCCCTTGAGTATGGGACTCTCTTTCAGCCACATTTCCTCATGATATCTGGCAAAACTGATTCAGCCCCATCTTCGTAGGGCTTTCATGCTAGCTCGGTTCGACGTTCTTCCCTGTTTTATCAGGTAGGTTCAAGAAAATTCCCTACAAAGATAGATTGTCCCCATGCGGGATGGGGGGAAATTGAATCTATTGGACATGTGCTTTTGTACTGCAAATTTCTACTATGACATCCATGTTGCTTACATTGAACCGGTGATGGACCCCCTTTTGGGATAATCTGATGAGTATAAAATCATATCTTTATTGTCTTCTCATAATATAGAAATTCTTGAACCTGTAGCAATTTTTTTTAATGAGATATCTAGGAGGAGAGGCTCATATTAAGGCAATTCGGAATGTGCTACACACACACACCCCACTATCTTGAGGCTTTATGCTGCACGTTGTGTTTTATCTCTTATGCCAATAAAGGTATTGTATTTGTATTTGTTAAAATATATATATATATCATAGGCACAGAGTAAAGCATGTATAAATTCCACTTCTAGGTGCATACTAGTTTGATGTGCATAGTTTGCATTTTTGTTACTGTAGTGAATGTTGTACCCCAATCCACAAATGTGCAACTACAGTATTAATAAATTGGGACCTAAAATAATAGGTTATAGGTTTGCAGTTGCTGCCGTTTCTGCCTTGTTCAGAGTAATAAAATACCATCATTATGAGCATTGTAATGTTTCTTTCTAGAAAACAGTACAATAAAAATGCTTTAAATTGTAATCTGGTAGCACTGCAGAAATTGGGAAAGTAATGGCTTTGATTCATAATTCGAAATAGCTTTGGTTGAGCCCAGATTGAAGAGACAAGTGCCTGAAATTAGTTAAGCATAGAAATATTTCCCATAATGATACTGCATGCCATATGGCAGCAGGTAAACTGCAGCTGTGGGGGAAAAGTAGGCAGGTATCTACTGTATGGTTGTAGTCATATGGATATTTGCTTGTGAATAAATGCCCTTGAACTCAGTAGAGGTAACTTCTGAGAAAACATGAATAATAATTGGACTGTTGATCACTTGGAAAGTTGCGTGGTTGCTTGACTCACTTAATGGGGTTTTCCCTGTGGGGGCTGCCATGTGTAGTTTCTCAGTTGCTGCTGCAGCTACCAATATAACACAGCAGCAATAAGGCTTCTACATGGCAGGTTTCTCCATGGTTTCTCTGCCCCTGTCCCTTGCATGGGCCATTTCCTCCTCCTCTGCTGGGAAGGGCGTTTTAAAGTCATCAACTGAGTATTGCTGTATCATTATAACAATCTGTGCCCTGGGTTCTTTAAATTCCCAGCATAGCGGGGATGGGTCCCTGTTCCTACCACCTTGCTGTTTTCGAGAGCACAAACCCCCAAATCTTGAAAACAGCACATGGGAGGAGAAAACAGGCATCTCTCTCCCCATGCTGTGGTCCCAATCAGGACTGGCGCCACTGTGGCATTTGTACACACAGGGTATTTCATCCCTAAAATGGCAGAGGTATCTCCGTGGTGGACTCAGGAATACCATCATATCAGATGAGCCCTGAGGTGAAAGCCAATTGGGTTGGGGGAACCAAAACATTTTTAAAAGTATTGCAGACTTTGGCCCTCAGAAGGCCTTCTGGTCTTAGTTACCCTCACCATCTCAGGATAGTAATGAGGCACACAGTTGCTGCAGATGCCTACACAAGATTTTAGTTAGAACTTTCATCTCTTCACTGATGATATCAAAGGAACAACGTATTGATGCATTTTTACTGAATACAGCTTAGCATCAAAGAGCAGATGGGATCAACCATGTTTCTAGAAGAGATACTGATCTTTGGAACTGAGAAAGCATTTTCCTGGCACTGTAAACTACACAGGAAATAATAAGAAATGTTGCAATAATAGTCTTTTAAAAGGTTGTTTCTTTCAATAGGTTGCCTCCTAATGGAATTGAATGGCATCTTTGAAGCTTCAGCACAGTAATAGAAGTTGGCTGCTGTTTCCGAAATGCTGCTGCCATTCTTTTGAACTGATTAGGAACAATTATGATATTATACAATCCCTTGGACTGCAAGAAGATCAAATCAGTCAATCCTAAAAGAAATCAACCCTGACTGTTCCCTGGAAGGCCAGATAATGAAACTGAAGCTCAAATACTTTGGCCACCAAATGAGAAGGGAGCACTCACTGGAGAAGACCCTGATGCTGGGAAAGATTGAAGGTCAAAGAAGACGGGGACGGCAAAGGATGAGATGGTTAGACAGTGTCATAGATGCAACGAACA